CATAAATATCTACCTTTCCTCGTACATTTTCGTTTTAGGGGTTCCTTGCGCTTCAGGGCAATGAGACTTATTCATCGTCCTAATGATGTAGGCAGTACGAACTACACGGCGCTACAATCCAGAAGACAGCCACCACCATGAAAACCCCAAATTTTAATTATAAGAAACATCTGTGTCAACATATAAGCCGAGAGACATGAATCTTTCTGATTTTGAACACCAGGTGAACGGCAGGAAGTCGGACATACTGAGGACTCGCGTACGATTTAAGAGCCTTCCACACTTCTGGAACTGACCGTTACAGCCAGCACTATTCGTTCTAATGTGCGGTCAAGCTGGACGTTCTTCGTCGGCTCCACATTAAATTGCGTAGACGAATGAATTCCGCAGCGTCACGGACTTTCAGTGCCTCGGCGCCGCGACGCAGGGTTCAAATACGAAACACAGTACAGACCACGAGAAACGAATTACGGGCGCTTTGGAGTCTGTCCGACCATTGAATCCCACATTTCGCTTTTAACATGTAAGATAATGAGCGATGTCCGTGTACTGTTATTATGACAGCTGCTATGGTAACGATGCTGACTGGTTTCGATCTTATGGAATAACGATTATTATGTTATACCGAGTCATTGATAATCCTATTGAGAGATTTCTAATCTTATAATCTGCATGATATGTATTAGCTACTTAGAGGCTACAATATAAATCTATAAGCAGGTACTATCATGTGTCTGCTGTTTGTAATGGGTATATTTGTTTGTAGCATTTAACTACCTAATATTTATAATAACACGAATTGAACTTGAAAGCGTATATTGCATTATTATGATTATTCCAAATGCCCTTGTTACATAATTAACATTTCGAACCACTGAATGTAACAAACATGTATGTACATTTAATTGGATTTTTATGTCTGGCTGTGAAATCTGTACAAGTGCCAATGAGTATCTCACACAGACGGAGACTGTGGCAAGAGTTTTCGGGGTAGTGCGAAAAATGAAAACCATGTTAACAATGCATCAGATAAAGATAAAAACGTTTCAGAATTATTGGATTAATAAACAACAATTTTTAGCAAAGCTGTTTTTTCCCCAACTGCGAACAACAAAAGACATGAATCAGCACATACACGCCAACACGGACCCTACACCAACCGAATTACAGTAAATGCTGTGATCTTGCTGCCCACGTATTTTAACATAAACCCTTCCAGCGTTTAGCTTGTCAAATAAAATCCACTGCGTTACAAGAGAATTTTATGCGTTCAGTTGTCGGACATTGATGAGCACAATGATGTCATAATTCGGACGACACAGATGAGGATATCAAAGTTTCTGCGCTCGATGCAATACGAACACCAACAACTGAACCACTATTAAATTTTATACTACGCTTGGATGTTGCCAACAATTTAAAATATTTATATATATTTCCGGTTTAACAATGTGTGTACACTTTTCCGATACCCACGGTTACGTTTGATATTTCACGTTCTAATTTTTTTTCTCCATTCTTTAATATAGAGATCGTCGACTTTTCTGAATTTATTTTTCATCTAATTTCCGTGTTTTGTTTCCCATCATTCCCATTAAACTATTTACTAACACAATTATCATGCACATTTTCCTGGATAATATGGAGAAACATGATTTGTTTTTAGAAGGAAGTCCAGAGTGATGATATATTCCACGTAAACACAGAGAACCGAACACAGTATTCAGGAGCAACAGAGAAACGGCTATCAACAGATAAATCCCAACATACACTCCGCCTTTTTAAACAGGTTTATAGGGTCCCGCTTGCCAGAAATCGAATGGAAGGAATAAAAAACAAACGATACCTTTAACACAGGCATATTGATTATTAGTGCTCTGAAAGAAGGGGGTGCTTTGAACACGACTGTCCTTTGGGATGTTACGCCGTGTGGTCTGGTAAAAGTTTACCCACGTTTCATCACCAGACCGACAGCCCTGGTGATGGGTGCAGTAAGTACCTCCGAATCATCGATAAACTACCAGATCACACGGCGAAACATCCCACAAGGCAGTCGCGTTCACATCGCCGACCTGAGAAGCCTAATACCAGGGAGATTCTCAAAAACCATTTAATACACGAACAAATTTGTTGCCATGAAACTAACAAAAAACGAAAATAAATTAACAGGAGATTAAATTCCGGGATTACGTGTTACCATTCAACCGACAATATTGTGCCCCACTGCCCCCTTTCCAAAAACCAAAACTTAATAATACTTTATAATAGTATGTAAACTAATTAATTCGGTAAGTCTGTTAATTATTAGTTTAACGGTTAATCAAATAATTAGTAGTACGTTAATTAGCCTATTTCGTAGTCATTCACTGGACCGAGCAAGTTAGTCAGTCAGCCAACTGGCTAACAGTTTGTTGTGAACGTTTGTGGTCTGTACAACAAACTACAACGAACAGACAGACAGACAGCCAACGAGACCCCGCGCTACTATTATAGGTAGACAGCAACGTACTCCTGTTATAATACTTGCAACTGTGATCAGAATCTCTTGTAACAGAATTAAGTGAATCCACATACTTATCAAAAGTACCTAGCATTCAGCCAGGGGTCGGAGAAGTTTTAAGGGAGAAGAACGCTGTTTCTTTGGTAACATTCGAACACTTTTATGTTTTATAAGGATGAAACGGTAACCATTTTTAGGAATGTCAATCTTTTAATATACTACGTAACACACTGGTGTCCTTATAAGTTGCTAAATAAACAAGTCTCATACATAATACATCCAAACATCTGTAGCAGGACACCTCATTATCGTTAACAGATATCGAGTAATTACGAGGACCATTCACTAGGTAATGACTATTATTTACTCAGGTCGTATGTGATATTTCAAATATAACGACACTCAGTACCTATGAAACCATTTTAGTTTTGAAAGGCGTTTCTACTCTATGCCCGTTTATAACAACACGCAGAATCATCTGAATATAACAATTACATAAGAAGCACTGTTTGCTATAAACAGGTCATATATTTTTACAAACCCCAGTGAAAGTCTGAGGATTTTTACATTAAATTTCAACAGTAACGAGATGACGCGTTTGATCACGATATTTCATGACATGGCAAATTCCCGGTAAACACATGTTGATATTAAATTTTATTCTGCGAATTACAGCAAGCGATTTTAATTGCAGCTGACTGCTTCGTTATTTTAAAACGGTAAAAGAAATCCAATCAGAATATTCAGCAGCAATGCTGGAAAGCTTCTGGAAACAAGTACGACTTTCAATGAACCTATGGTCATACTTTCTTCTCGGATAAGCCTACAAATTCCAGACTGCATCGATTAGAGGAAGATAACGGCTGAACATTTATGAGATAAAGCCTTTGTTCTAATTCAACCAATAGAACAAAACAGAAATAATAGCCGTGAGAACCTGAAATCTCACAAAGTAACTATCAAATGTGTCAAGATCAAAAAGAGCTAAGATGCGAAGACAAGCTCCTGCCCTACGTCATATCCGTCAGTAATAACGGTCTCTGAAAGCGAGGAACTGTTACACGTAAGCATGGAGACCTCGTCCGGTTCAAACTAGTGTAATTAATAGTACGAAAACATCACACAAATTATTCGAATCAAGTGTAGCGGCATAACACGAACAGGATGTAATTTACGCTTTGCAATAATTATAATTCATGATGACGAACACTACAATAGGCCGATATGAAGGACTAACCAACGTGGGCTTCTGCGACCACCGACTCTGAAGAAAAAATAAAGTGAGGCTATGATCGCATCTCCTTCCCTCTTATACACAATTAAACAGGAACTACTTCAAGAACTGCAGTTTCTCAATTGGTCACAAATTCAGCCTCTTTTATGGGAACCGAAATGTTATTACTGTGCTCACAAGGAACGGTCATTGTCCTATATCCCAAGCCATATAAAACCAGTTCGTCGCCATTAACATTACCTCTCAAGTGGCATCTTCTTACCCATATTTTGCAGAATTTAAATCGCAGGCACAGAAATCCTTTCTTGAGGAGTTATCCTACAGAGGATACTAATTCCACTGAGTATGTACAAACGACATTGAACCAACTGCACGCATTATGAAATATCAGATATGCTATATACATAAAAATGGGGTTTTAAGACTGTATGTGCCGTATTAAACACGCTTTCCCCCACCACGTAATTTGATACTGGAAAAACTACAATGAAACCGATTCAGGACAGCTAATTAATTATCCGGCCACTCTCATACTTATCAAAACTGAGTTATACCTGCTTTTTAATTTACTAGGAGAAGCCTCCTTAACAGGAGGAGACTTTAATGCAAGAACTGAGTCAGCAAGGACCTTTGAAACGTCGGTAAACTTCTACAACAACCGAGAAGACAGTCATCTTCAGACTCACCGCCCTGAAAACCTCAAATCCTAAATAAAAACTTATTCAACTAATTCTACTCTTGTATTACACTTGATATTGACTAAACACTGTCAGAATGATATCGATCAAATGTGCAAAAACAGCACACGCCCTCCTTTCCTTGACGATATTCAACAACCACGGATTATCTAAAGATTTGTCACAATGGTTGATAACACCAATATTATTCTGCACCCTGGCTGCTGTTTAGGGTACAATGGCTTGTCCATCGTTTAGACAGTTCACCTTATTATCCTCTTCAGGTAACAGATGCTTGGCTGTCATAACACTGTCAGAGCTCTATTCATTGAATTTTAAAATTAGTGGCGAAGGTTGAGATCGAACTCGGGACTTTCTAGATCCCAGCATAGTACTGGTCTAGTGGTCAGCGTACGCCTGCTAGCCTAGTATTTTAGAAAAGTTTCCAACTGTCGTAATTAACATTAAAATGAAGACTTTAAGAATAACAATCTGTCAGTATGATGACAACCAGTCAAGACAGAAGTGCCAAGCCTCGAAACGTAGTGCACATACATTTAATTACTATAATACTAAGTAATATATTTACCTAAGTAGGTGCTATTGGTTAACACCCAAAACACCTTCAGCGGGTCGACCATTACCAATACAAGTATCAAAGAAGTTAGTCACGGTTGCTGCCACGTTATGTCAGAACTGAGACACATGAGGAGAAGCGGGGTGTGAAAAGCCTGGGTAACACTCATCACAACACTCAACACTAATGTCCTCTTCACACTAACCAAGACAGAGATTAACAACTACAATATTACATTCATCTGAATATACTAGAACGTGGGATGAGCAACACACAACAGCTCGTTTCTCAAACTGACCTACAATTAAAATGGTCAATTTAAAACCTGTTAATTGAATTACTTCAAGCGTACTAAATCATTCCTCTTATAAATTATAATCCTCATAAAATAATTTTTGTCATATAAACGATGTTTTAGGAATAATCAATTCAGCAATTTAAACTTCTTAATCTGTGATGGAATACTGACGACTATTCGAATCGACTCTCGAAACTGATTTTAAAGACAGTCGATACAACGGAATCCGTAATCGCGAGTTGTGGCGTCGGCGTCCGTAGCACAACTGAGCGTACACAGCGAC